GACAGATAGAAAACATTATCTGTATTGGGAAAGCTAACCAGCATGAAACAGAAATTACTTGGCAATGTGCCATGTTGTGTTTTTTTTTCAACCTTAATGATGAAGCAAAAGAGGCAGCAATGAAGCCAGCAGGCAAACACTGATTGGCATCCCTGATAAACATAAATGGCTTCCACTGTGAAAACTGGCCAGCAGCAGGTTTGCAGTAGCCCTGGGTGGTTTCATATTTTGTCAGCAGGTTCATACTTGAGGATTTTGCTCATTTGTTTGCTCTGCCATTCATTTGTTAGTATGCTCATTTATCTTGCAGTTAGAAAAGTTGGTGCCATTGCAAGAGCAGCTTTGCAATAGTATAGAAAAATACACACAGCTATTATGTGGAATTCCCCTTCAAGAAAGATACGAGAATGAAACTACTATTGGAAATTTAATTAAAGTTTTTTATAAGCCTATATTTTACCACATATCTAAGCCAGGTGGCAAACGTTTGAAATTGTATTACTGCATTGGAGATTTTATTTAGCCGGAGACAGACACCATAATTCTCCCCCTCGTGTCGCTTTTATCAGACCAGTCATCATCTGCAGCCGTGGGCATGGACAAATGACCTGGAACCAACAAGAAAAATCCAGAATTTACCACTGTAACCCTGCCTCACCTCACAGCTAATAATATAGTCCGTAAGACCAATTCCAATCCCCCCACAGTGTTTTGTAGTCACATGGTGTTGTTTTATGTGGAGGTTAGGATTTGAGTTTAGGGCCATTTAGAAAGTATTTAAATACCTACTGTGATGTCCAAATTATTTATCTCATTCTTTGTCTGTCTCTATTTGTTTCCATTTTTGAAAGTAACCTCTTTGGTCAGTCTACATTTTAGGCTTGATATAAACTTACTCCTAAGGTAAATTATATTATATGAGTCAAAGAAATTGCAAAAGATATAAGTAGTAATTTTTCTCCTTACTAATCTAACCCATCAGGCTTTTTAGGACGTCTTCTATCAGAACATGGCTGTTGAGGACTCTCACAGTATTCTCTTGGAGTGTTTCTAACCCTCTTAATTGGAACACCACACACTCAGGAGAACTTTGAATGCTCAGAATGCATTGAATGATGTGACTACAATTTTGTCTTCAAGTAAGGGTTAAGTGGGACTGTATAAAGTAGATAGAGAAGACAGTAGAGTGAGCAACGATGAAAAAACATCTAGGGTAATTTCACTTCAAGAAATACTAAAGTTGATTTTCCTTGAAGTAGTATTAACTAGTCTTTCTAGCACTATGCTGTCTCTCTAATTAAGCTGTCATATTGCAAATGAAGCAAAAAGGCTTGGTTGAAGTGTTAATGAAGCCTACAGTACAATGAAGTCATTGAAGTACCAGAAAAAAAACGTTTTTTTTCCCAGGTGAGGGAAAGGACCTAGTGGAGCATCAGAGTGTAGAGATTGTACTAAATTTAAAGGACAATTTAAATATTTTGTGAGTTGTATTTAGTAGTTTTGGCCATCAACTCTATCAGTTTCTAAGACCTGGGAACAGGGTGACATTTCTAGGAAGAAGTTTAATTTGGAAAGAAACATTATCTGTCAGACAATCATATGGGCATTTTGACCCATATGATTGTCTGAACATTATTTTTATTACCCAAACTTACCCAAGTTTTCTTCATAATAGCAGGCATTTCACTTTCAGTTTTACTTCCAAATAAAGGGGTTAGATAATCCGATATCAAATATCATTGCAGTGGAAAGAATAGCCTTGTACACGGACCACTGAAATACAAACATAGAACCCTGTCTCCTGTCCATCTACAAAATCTGCCACAGAAAGGTTCAAAAATGTTCATCACAGCTAAAATGTATTATTACTAAATTAAAGGGGAACTCAACAACTTTTCCACATCAAAGTCTGTGTACAGGTCTTGGAGAGTACTTTTGCACTTTTTTTTAAACTGTTCATTGTGAGAGCAGCAGTGTTATAGGAGTGTGATGTTAAGTCAGTGGAGTACTCATTTAAGGACATTTTACCAAAAAAGTATAGCCCTGACATCACCATAAAATGAGCAATAAAAAATCAAAGGACTTTGTCTTTGTCACACTAAATCACATAACAAACAAACTGAATATTTTGTCCTCAAAGTTGATGTGTTAGAAGCAGGAAAAATGGGCAAATAAGGATTTGAGCGACTGTGATGGCTAGACGACTGGGTCAGAGCATCTCCAAAACTGCAGCTCTTGTGGGGTTTTCCCAGTCTGCAGTGGTCAATATCTATCAGAAGTGGTTCAAGGAAGGAAAAGCAGTAAACTAGATACAGGGTTATGGGTGACCAAGGCTCACTGATGCACGTGGGGGAGCGAAGGCCGTGTGGTCTGATCCAACAGAGGAGCTACTGTAGCTCAAATTGAAAGGTGTCAGAACACACAGTGCATCGCAGTCTGTTGCATATGGGGCTGTGTAGCTGCAGACCAGTCAGGGTGCCTAGGTGGTCATAATGTTATGGTTGATCGGTGTATAAAATTGGTCCTTCTCTCTCACTTTCTCTGTCTCACTCAAGTGTGTAGCCTCCTATCTCAGCCTCCCTGGAGTGAGGCTGGGTTAGGGCTGTGCCCAGGGCAGGAGGCTGTATTAATAAGACATACTGCCATGGAAAGGTATAGATCACAGGAGAAAACAGGGCCCTGGGCTAATGCACAGTGAGTGAAGGTAGAGTGGAAAGAGAAAGAGAGAGAGAGCTAGAAAGAGATGGATTGAAGGGAAGACATAATGCCTAGGGTACTGTGAAAGAATAGATGGCTCTTGGTCTTTGAAAGAGCAGAAAACAAAGAGTTGGATAGGTGAAGGAGGGATGATAAGGTCTAAAATGATGAACTCAGCAGGAGGACTTATAAAAGGGCAGTAATGGGAAGGATTTGAGCGATTTGAGGTATATCTGAGGTGTCTTAGGGCATGTGGATAAAGAAGAAGAAGATCAGTGATTTGGTGAAGAATATAGATGAAAAGGCACCTTAAAGAGATGCAGAATGAAGGCTGACTATGAAAACAGAGAAAATCACAAAGTAAAATTAAGTCTAATCAATTTCTCTGACCACTGATTTATCATCACATTAACTTTGTTTTTACACATTCAAGTCCCATCATCTGCGATTACCATTTCATATATAAAACTAGACTGTTTATCAGGATGCCACACAGAGTCAAACTAAAATAATGGGGTATGGTGGAAAAAAAGCAGCACTCCTTTATTTATCCCTGTGATTTCCATGACGGAGTCCATTTTATACCCTTGTTAGTATGCCGATGGTTTTTAACAAGGAGACAAAAGCTGTTGAGGGGGCGTTTGGCTATGCCAATCTAAAAATGTCTGAAAATGCTCTCCCAAGCACGTTCTGAATTAAAGCCATTGTGATGGTAATTTTGTCACCTCTAATGGACAATTAGATATGCTAGCAGATAGAGACCACTCTGCATAACAATCTCTGGGTTCTAATTACCTCGGCAAATGGCGTAGTTGCTCGTGCGCCTATGGATCACTAAAGCAATAAGACAGAGCTGCGCAGATAGATTGAAGGTGAAAGGGGGCAGTTGCTGTATTAAACTCATCCTTCCCTGATAAAGGCCTGATGGATGAGGAGCTGTGTGAACTTTCATACATCTGTCAAATAATGGCTCCCTTCAAGAGTTTCCTCTGGTGGCCTGAACTCACTGTGTTTGTGCTTGAAGCATTTGTATTCAGGCACAGCTGTGTCTTTTCTAAAGCATCAAGTAGGTCCAATTCTAGAGCACTTTTGTTAAACCTAGTTGAAAGTTGAAATGTTCTCTTCATAAATTACATTTCATTTTGGGAAAAATGTCACTCTAGTGCTGCACATTGGACCATACCATAAAGTTGTATAAAATGCCCTGAAAAACTTCCTCTCAATTAGCCTCTTAATATGAGCCTTCTCATTGGTTCCAAGAGGGCGGCATTAGTTGGAAAATGGTAATGTCACATACTTCCATGCACGAATCAAGATTCTGCAATAGTAAGTAGTAATTTTGGAGCTGTTTCCATCAGTCAAATTAGCCTTTTTATATCTACAAATGCTGCAGGCCACTCTCTGTGGCAACCACGTTGATCCACCATGTTTCTATAGTAGCCCAGAAGGGACGAACCAAACACTGGCACTTGGTTGGGGGTTTTCACGGCCAAAGTAGTTTATTCTTCAGGCTGAGAAGAGTAGGGAGACCTTGATGTGACATACCAGAGAAAATGATTCAAACATAACAAGGCTGTATTGCAGCTGATAAAGTTAATTAGTTGTTGAAGCCAAAACCCCTGCTTTTAGATTAGAATCCACCACATCTTTTCATGCCACTTAATGACACATTGATAACTGTTGCACGCCTTGATAAAAGTTTAACTTTTTTGGTTGCTGATAGATGAATAGAACTTTCAAACAAGCCTAATTTAATATGCCTTTGATATTAAAAGGGTAATAAATAGAAGCATCCCCTAAAATTGAATTATGTTGTTAGTGCTCAAGACAGCTAATAACTTCATTAACATTGAATATTTGCTCTTTCTGTCGTGCCAGCAGCAAATCTTCAAAGATTACATTTCTTGTTTTAGTGCCACTTCCTGTACAATTTTTACATATGCAGGACGAGGCAGATATATTGGACATCAGAAAATAACATAGGGCCAAGTTCATAACTAATATTCTCTCGTTGTCTCATGTTAATGAGTTATATTTGTTTTGCCATTGTGTTCTGACTGTAGAAGGGTAGGGATTGTGTCTGCCCATCTTTGTGATCCACAGGATAGGTTTGAGGATTTTAGGTCATACAGACCTTTTTATGGATCTGAATCTTTTCATTTTATTCCCAGGAAGGATTTTGGTCTTATTTTGAAAGAATTTTAGGCAATATTTTCATGCCTGTAGAGTTTTGAAGATGTTATTTCATTATGTAAAATCTCATGTTAAAGTCTCTACTACTCTCTCTCTCCCTCTCCTTACAGGTAATGAGCTATTGTACCGTAATCGTGATGGCGATGTCGTCAGGTTCAACTTGGACACCAATGAAAAGACAATCTTGGTGCATAACAAGAAGTTTGTAAGTATTTTGTCATCGTCTCTCTTACTTTCTCACAATTACAGAACTAAAGAACTGACCACTGCTGCCCACAAATTAAATTAAAACTTTTCTTATAGTGTCAGCAAATCAAAGCCCCCAAAGTTCTTTTTTTGTTACAAAGCTTAATCAAATGATCCATTATTACTGTGAAATGTGAACTGCATAGTTAAAACTTGGGGCTTGGTTATGTGGGGAAACATCGAGAAGGAGATGTAGCGTTAGCGGCCTGGGTGACGACACACAACATTATGTCCGCCATCAAATCACCAGGCCCTAGTCCAAAGATTAATGCAACTCCCATTTGCTTCAAGAGCCGAGCAATCCGTCAAACGCAGTCATTTAAGGACTGGTTTAATGAAAAAATACCACGCATGGTTAAAGGTCTCATCTTTTTGTCTTTTTTTCTCCTCTTACATCTGCCTTGGCTTCCCAGGAAATGTACAAAGCCAGCAAGTATGAGGTGTCTCCTGACATGAAGCATGTGCTGCTGGCCTACAACGTTGCACCGGTGAGCTTCTCATTTGTTTGCTTGTTTTTTGAATTAGCAAACTGACAGCCAGATATGTCAGCCGCCTCCAGTGAGGGGGGTGGGGTATAGGCTCATAGTGTCGCGAAGGCAGGGAAGAGAGGAATGAGGGTGGGAGGAGAAAGTAATCATGGCGGGGTGTGAAGGCCTGTCGCACACCACTGCCTGTCAGCGATGGCGACGGGGGCCAGCACAGCCGAGTGGAACTGTAGCGAGGGAGGCAGAAACACAAACAAACCCCTCGGCGCTGCACGGGCTTGCAGTGAGGGAGATGAGATCGACAGAAGGAAGATGAAGTATTGGCTGGGAATTCATTGTTTCTGTGCAATTCTGAATAAAGTGTCCCATGACTACATCAACTCTGCCAGCGCTTTGATATCCACCAAATAATTTCAACCTCTAATATAGGTAGATCAAACATATTGAATAATTTTGCTAGCTAGTGTCTGTGTGTTGACTTTCATTCTGCTTCACCACTGAGTCACTGTAGAGTGCCTGTTGTTAGTGTGTGAAGGATGCTGGCAGAGATATAACCTTATGTTATTGCCTGAGATGAATTGAGAATATTATGACACACTAGCGATGTCTGGAGTGTTGTACTGCATGTGTTTGCATTTGTTATTTCATCCAAACCTCCATCACTTTGATAGATGACAGTCATTCCTCCTATACCCTCACTGTAGCAGCACACAGTCACGCACTGGTAAATGCACACTCACGCACACCTCATCTCTATAACATGTCATATGGGTTTATAATAAGCAGTGTCTGCATACCAAAACATAAAAACCATTCTCCATTTGAATGTGAATGTGTCTCTAGTGGCTCAGTGACTTTCATACATTCCTGCACTGTCCATAAACACTGCATTTGTAGAATATACAACATTAGACTATTTTTAACACGAACAATCAGCCATCATCTGTCAAGAACTTTTCATATAGTTAAGATTTTAAAGATGAAACTTGAGTATAAGAGATGATTCCAGGTTTTTAGTGTTTTTTGTAAGACATCTTGTCCACATCGTATCACAGTAACATATCCTGATTTTAGAGGGTAGCCAATGAAATCCATAGCAGCTTCCAGTTAAATAGAAGAGAGCCAAATATGTTGATTTGGTGTGTAATTAAAGAGTGACTAAACACCTAAAAAAAAAAGCAAAATTCTCTGCCCTCTCTTGAAAGTCAAGGCTGTCTTATCTATAACCATATCCAACAGTGGTGCCACAGTTAGTAGTAGTTAGTACTGTTCTGGAGTATACTACCACTGGAGGTTAGCACGTTAAAGGATAATTCTGGTATTTTTAAATCTGGCCCCTATTTTTACATGTACCAACTCCAGTGTTCTGCAAGGTTTTAAGGTTCAAGTTAAGTTCAAAGAATTCATTATTGTCAATGTCTGATTTTATTTTTACCTTCTTCATTTTCAAAGAATTAATTAGTAAGTCTAGTTTAACTGCAACATCCACATTGATTTCTCTAAATCAAAGAAAAAAACATATGAAATGACCTGACGACTCTTCTTCCAGGTGTACCAGTATTCTTATACGGCCTTCTACATCATTTGCAGTCTGGAGACTCCGTAAGTAGGCGACAGAGCTGCATTCTTCTATTTATCCTGTATTTCATTATCTTATCTTGTAATATCTCACCTGACCCTGCTGCCCGCGACACTGCGAGCAACTCATTCCCACCTGTTCTCACAACTTGTTCTCACTGTACCGCCTACGAAGCACCTCTGACATCAGCTACACTGTTAACTTCCGAACCTCCACAAGTGCTGTCTGTGAAGTGAAAAGGAATGTAATCCAGATCTTCAAATGGCAGCCAAGTTTCCCTAACATCTACAGATCTTACATTTTTATTCGCTAACATGAAGCTTTGAAAAAAGGCACATTATCAATTGTAATGCTATCTGGTTAGAGAGATCAAAAGGACGTACTTGCATGGAGGTGCTACAGTGCCTTGCAGAATGCTGTAATAGCAATACCACTGAGTTCAGAATGAGAGTCTTCGCAAAGTCACTTATAGCTCTCTTGTCCTTCATTTTTTAGTCGTTAACATGGCTGGAGAAGTGACAAGTCTGCACTCTTTGCTATAGTTTAACATCTCTGATCTTCATTTCTTTATGTTAAAACATATGAAAGAGTAGCAGAAAATGTTCACGTAAATAGTAAATGTCTGCATTTATATAGCGCTTTTATCCAAGTTGCCCTTTATTCCCACGCTCACACACCGATGGCAGTGACCTACCATGCAATGTGCTGGCCTGACCCTCGGGAGCAATTTGGGGTTCAGTGTCTTGCCCAAGGACACTTTGACATGTGGAACTGGGGATTGACCCAACCCTTACTCAACAATCAGTGGACAACCTGCTCCCCTTCCTGAGCCACAGCTGCCCCAAGATGTAATAAAACCATCATAACATAAACATAAACATCAAATTATGTCCTAACTCCTGACAAAACAGCCAGAACTGATTAACTGGTGTTGATCCCCAGCCAATACATATTATGGCCATTATGTCCAGTAAGTAGACACCTCACTTATTTCCCTTTTGAATTACTTCCACACCAGGTCACAGTATTACAGCCCTGTCAGCAGCTCTCCTGCTCAAATCTATTTGTGTGCTGCCACCTAGTGGTAGTGTGCCAAAAAAACCCACCTCAGCTGATGACCTCATTCATCCTCAGCTCCAGACAAAGACATAGAGGCAGTGGCACCTCTAATTCTGCAGCCTGCACTGCGCAGCACTTTTCCCAATAAGGAGAGGTGACACTGTTATAGAGCAGTGATATTTATGGATACACTTAAACCTTTGTTCTCAGATGTGCTACACTTGTTCTTGTGCTGCAGCAGTACTGGGAGCACATTCACTGTGTGTATGTGTCTGCAATTCTATCTGATAGCATTGTTTTCTCTGTCTGTGCACCCCAGGGAGACGTGGAACTTGAACCCTCCAGAGGTGCGAAATGCTCAGCTGCAGTATGCAGGCTGGGGACCCCAGGGTCAGCAACTGGTAAGAACTACAATTTTCTCCACCTACTGACTAATGACGTTTCAGAGTTAACATTCAAACCATCTTTATTACTTAACATTTACAGTAACCATTGAAACTTTGATGTCGAGCATACACACTAGATAACAAAATGGCTGTATATATACACATAGCCAAGTGCAAAATATGCAAGCCTGCACTGACCTTTACTGCTGGTAAAAAGTTAATGGAAGATAAGTTCAGGAATTTAGGGGACTTTACTGGCCCCCTGATGGGAGGAGCTGGAATGAGTAATGAAGCTACTGTGAAAAGTACTCCTATATTTAAACCTGCATCAACAAGCTGCTAACAAAAAACTGACGGATAACATTAGCCGCATGTTTAGCATTCATTTGGATTTGTGTCTGTATCCACCTGATGAATGAAGACCAAAGTAAATATTTATACAGATTAGGTCAAATCCTTTGAAGGTTACAGCCCATGAAGGTCGGTCAAGCCAACGTGAAACAAAACTAACGGTGCATTCAAGTGCTCCTTGGCAAATTATGAAGTCAGATATTTCAAGAAATTAACCTTAAATGGCTGAGTAAATATCAGTGGGAACACATTCCATTATACCTGAGGTTACAGTCAGAGTTGTTACATTTCACTTAAACACACAATTTACAACTGGCAAACAAGGTGTCAGGGTAATGTATCCATACAACACCCTCTGATTCACAAATCAGGCTGCTAACAAGAACAACAAGAGGAGTTTATGCCTGAATTCCTTTATTTACGTCCTCCAGTGGCTTTTTCTTTGGTCCACTTCATGTGATAGATTCACCAGTGATTGATGACCTCAACACAAATACCTGATATATATGGTCATGATCGCGTTGCATTTTCTGACTTTTATGAGCTGACCAAGATCACCTGAATGCTCCATTACACTGACCAATTGACCAGCGCACAATTGATTATGGGATACTGAGGGCTGCAAAGGATTCACAGCGTGTGTCCTCCAAATTTGCTGGAAAAACAGCTGCATTTCTTGGCTGCATTTGGAAGAAATTTTGATGGGGAACAAGCCTTGTTGGCCCGTTAAATTAAATTTGGTCTTGAAATATGGAGGCTCCATCCCCTGAGTTAGGATTCTTTATATTTCAGAGGCAGCATTTTCTTCAACACAATTTTGTGGAATAGGTTTGAGTCTTTTAAACTCACAAACAATTTTGTCCCTCAGGGTTTTAATCATCCAAATGATTCACTGAGACTTCCCAGTAAACATATTTTAAATTAAACACTATTGTTTGAAGAACAAGGAGCAATGGTCCTTTGCAACTCTTCCAAAAGGAGTCATTTTCCGCCTCCATCATCACACAGTCGAACTTGTCAGAGCATTAATGAGCTTCAGTCTGTTGGTTTGCAGGGCAGACAGACTGTATAACTGATAACATCCTGCAGCACAATGCTATTAATTACCTGTTATCTCGTCAGTGGATTAATTAACACAGTCGCTAGATTGATATAGCCCCAAGTTTCCCACCATTAGTCATGAAGTGGTTTTACTTCCATCAGGCGAGTTATGTTAGCGTGAAACTGAGCAGCAGCTGCTTTCCCTAAAGGTTCAGATGTCCTCTGTCGAAGAGGTTGAGGTTGAAGTGAGAGATGTCCATCAGCTAAAACAAGCTAACAGAATCTGCAAGCCAAGGCATGCCTCATCATATTAGAAACACCTAATATACATGAATCAGTCCACCTGTTTTCCTGTTCCCAAATCCCTTATGCACTTAATTAAATCTCTTTTACTTTCCCATAGAGAGTGTGCACATACAGTATATGCCCATATTTACACTCACAAACACAGCTGTCCAGCCACATGTTAAGCTATTTGTTAGGCTAAAAAGTCAATGTAATCGAGTGCATGAGTGGCATCTTATTTTCGCAGATGCTTGTGTCTGCACAAAGATGTTTCTTACTTTTTTCTGTGGAAAGTAAATCCCCCAGTGAATGAAAGAGTTTCTATTCCCTGTTCCCTGTAGGCGGCTAATCTTCAACATGTGGCTGACACACACTCACACAATCAAAGTTTGGACGCTTAGCCCCAGGAGGCCTAACCTTTGTATTACATTATAGAGAGAGAGATTTTGTGTGTGTGTGTGTTTGTGTGTGTGAGAGAGAGAGAGACATCTTTCAAACTCCACATCACCAGTTTGCAACACAGGCTTTCCGCTAAACAAGATTTACACAGAATGGGATGGATGGACCCCATGTTCACAGTTTGTAAAGTAAAAATTCCACCGCAAATTACCTACTGTATTTCCCTCCAAAACACATGGATCATGTGATAATATTAATATGTTTAATATTAGTCCCTTGCGAAACGGCATCTCTGTGATTTGGGGTCGTATTCTCTGCTTTCAAGATCAACAATGTGCCAAGTTTCATGGTAATCCACCATATGGTTGTTGAGACATTCTGGTCTGGACCAAAGTGGTGGACACACTGACCCACTGACCTACTGACGAACATTGCCATCCCTAGAGCCATGCGTCTCCCAGAAAATACAGCACACAGGTGCTTGGGTTATTTTTTCAGATTTGAGAAATTGGCCCCTTAAATACTACTTGAGGGCACATTAATATGTTTCTAAAACCTCATGTTTTGGGGTTGTTTCCTTTTAAGTTGAATTAATTTCATATACACTTAATTCATATTTATTTTTTATTTATTTATTTTAGAATTTTTAGACCTAATCACATATTTTACTTTGTAAAGAGGTGTCTCATCGTGTTGGTGCAGTTGCAGTTGCCTGGTATTGTTTTCATCCACCTAAACAAACTAAAGTAGCAAAGTTTGTATACTCTCCTCCAAATTATTTTACTGAGTATCCTAAATTTGGATCCCCGCCATTACTGGCAGAGTTCTACCTTCCTTCAGAGAACGAGGCCAGGTCTTCTCTCTGTGCTGTGGCCTAGATTAGCTTCTATACAGGGACTCCATCTGTACCAAAGTGACACCAAACCACATGGGCCCCCAGATTGCGGCACTTTAAGAGAAAGTAATTGTGACAGATTTGTGTTATCGTTAAAGAGATGCAGGAGAAACCTTTTGCTAACTACTAAGTTTTTCGCTGTGTATACTAAATACCTCATTGCTGAGACACTGTATAGTAAAAGATTGCAAAATGCTAAATTACTGTAAATTCATGGAGTAGTGTTTTTTTGTAGCGTCAACCTGTTATACACTGTAGAAAGAAGCAAAAATAATGCAGCTAACGTAGACAGCTACAGTATTTGATTTCCTGCTGTACATCATCCCGTCATTTAGACTTCTCAGAGTGAATATTTATTGGAAAATCATTCACAAACTGATACCATGATACCAGCTCGAGGCCAAGAGATTCCATAATCCTTGAGATACTGAGCGCAAACCCTGTTCTGTAATAGCCTGAGATTGATTTCAGCATGGCATTAAAGCTGTAACATTTTAAAATTCCAGCCCCTAGAGTCGCCCCACCCCACCCTGCTCACTGTGGGTGCTGATGATCTATTATTCTCTGTAATGAAAGAGTTGACCTTCAGTTATCTTGAAAGCCCTGCAGGCCTGTGAAGGAAAGCGTCAAAGTCAAAATTTGGTCCCAAGGTTCGCTGTCTTATCATAAATTGAAAAGACTTCTTTTTTCCTCTTTGTATCTTGACAAAAACTTTGGTTTCCCTCTCATGAAAAGGTGATATTGCAGATATGTGTACTGATCTCTTGTGTATGACAGGTGAAAAAGCACAATGCTCATGTGTGTTTTGTTCCCAGGGTTGATCTTAACTGTGATAGCATGACCTCTGCCCTACCCAGATCTCCCACCTGCAATAGTACATGTCAGTATAAATACCATACTGTCCTCAGGCTTGTGCGTGTTGATAATAATAATGATGTAACAGCTTATTCAGCGTAAGGACATTCTCTGTAGAAAGGTTGTCAGTCAGGGTCATCAACACAACACATCAGCAGGACAAACGCTGCTTGAAAAGAAGCTCTTATCGTGGATTTTCCACTTTGAAGGCGGTTGGTGTATTGTTTTGCCATTTCAAAATTTGATTAAAGTGTAATTCCTTTCTTTCCGCCTCTTGTAGATCTTCATTTTTGAGAACAACATCTACTATCGCTCTACGGTGGAAAGCCGCTCCATCCGTTTAGTGTCTACTGGAAAGGAGGGAGTAATCTTCAATGGGCTCTGTGATTGGCTGTATGAAGGTAAGGCAGAAAAATATCTAAATCTGCAAATTGTCATTTATACACTTTGAGTTTTGTATAGATAAGATGTAACATGTTAAATTGTTAAAGCTTTACTGGCACCAGGTAAGCTGATTGTGTTAACTTTGGGAGCTTCCACTTGTGTTTCTAATGACTTTTCACAAATATTTTCTTGTGAAAAACTGGATACTTTGACCTCAGTACGTCTAATTTTGAGAGGGGAAAATCAGTCTCTTGTGGAACTGCTCACCAATCATTGGCATATGGTACATGTGATCAGCAGGGTCGGAAGTTAAAAAGGACCACTGACTAAGTCATGAAGACCATGTGTAAAATATTGAAGTGAACCTCTTTCTTTTTCCTCTATCTCCCCCCTCCATCCCATTACTCTAATTTGAACAGCCTGTAGTTACACATGTATTAATGAGTAATGACATGAGAAAGTATGACTCCCCAACGTCTGCAGCCATATTAGTATTTTTGGTGTGTAGAACTTGATTTCCTGCAGGTAAATTAAAAATGGAAACTCTTGTCAATTTGCGTGTGCTTTACACCGCCCCGAAAATGAATGAATGTTCTACATGGATTGATTTGCATTAATTCAGCAGTGGCGTGTGTTGTACACAGTCTGATACAGATGTCATGGTGCTCTCCAAGTGTCAACGCCACCAATCAAAGAATCACCTGCATGCCTCGCAGAAAAAACGAGGACGGGTTCTGTGTTAGTATTCAGCTAATGAATTTATATCCGCTGCGCTGGGTGCACTCTCTGCTCCAGTGGAACAGTGTTTTAATAACAGAGGAAAAGGGAGAAGGGGAGCGGTAAGCACATAGATATAGAGATAGCAGGAATAGAGACAGCTTGTGATGTACAACAAGCTGTTAATCCACGAGTAGCGCTATAAAACAATACATTCGTGTTTGATAATGTGAATGACTGCCACCTAGGAGGCCTCTGAGGATCTGGAAGCTGTGACTCAGAGGTTATCTGAGGTCACCAGTGCACCAGGACAAGAGCTGTGTGGCTGTTTCCTCTTGGGGGCTAGTCCGTTTTTTATTTAATGTTATCAACCCACGGCTCCTCTTATCTCTGCATTAGCCAGGCTGACATTGGAAACCAAGTCCATCCTTCAAGAGCAATATCCATTCTCAGCCATTTAAACATTAATCAGAGCGTTATTGCAGTGTCTGACCCCCTGACTCATATTTATGAGCTGCTGAAGGCTTGGTAATTTACACTCATCATTTATTGACCAGATAAATCTTTCACCGAGAGATAAAACACAGAGTCAGCTTCATAATGTTGAGATAAAAGTGAATTGTAGGACAACAGATTTGTATTTAGTTTTTTTCCTGCATATAACTTTCAAAATAAAGATAACGTGATATGTTCCAGTTTAATAAGAACATATTATTTGATAATTTTGAGAGTCATATAGTAGAATATTTAGTAGATCTACTGCATTTGTAAGCCTGTTATCATGGGATGTTTAATTATTCATTCACAATAATTAAAGATATCAGACATTATGTTAAGTTGAGATTGCAAACAGTGTCTTAATATAATGAGATATATCTTGAGATGATAAGGTAGTTACTGGAAAAACCAAAGATAGCAGGTTTATACTAATTATTACTAATTATGGTTTCTTTGGCCAGTTTGGGTATACAAAGCTACACTCTAATCAAACAGCCCAGTCCTTAATGATTAGGATAATTTTTTCCTACCACATTTCCACTCAATTGCCTGTTTATTAGCTACACATAGCTAAAACAAATCCAGTGTAGTACAGCAGCCCTGCCCTTAATTTTACCACATTAAGGTTATAGATTTTGCTTAGCACTAGAACCGCCAGGGGTGGCTGTATACCTAAAACCACCAACGGGTAAAATTTAGTTGCTATGAGAATGCATTGATTTTTAAGGTACAAGCAGTCAGAAGTTTTTTACTTTTTTTAATTTTTTTATTCTAGTTTAAACTTCCTCAAATTAGTGCGGGTTAATTTCCATGTCATGTTATGGGTTCCACTCACAGGTTACACCAAATAGCTATAGTAAAAACAGTATTTGTAGTCATGTCTCCACAAAGTATTTTGTTAAAGACTTGCCTTAGTCTGGGGGCATATTTTCTGCAGCAGAGATGCTACTGAATGATCATAGAAATATTATAAAAAATAGGAAATACTGTCTCACTTTTCCACGACTATGTTGCTACTTCTTTCTTTGATCATGAAGGTGACAATATAGTAGTATAGTAGTGCTATAATATAAAATTAAGTATTTATAGTATGTAGTTGAGAGAAAATTAAAGATCCAAGAGGAAACTGACCATCAGACATTAATTGCATTGAGCAAGTCTAATGTCTGATTTTTCATTAATAATAAATAATCTCTCTCATCCATATTGAAGGTTGTCCTGTGACTTATGTTGCAGGTCTAATAAATCATGGTAGGGGACAAAAGGCGTTGCCAATTGCAACATAGAATGGCTAAACACATGAAATTACTCGTGTGAAAATCATTGCATTCTCTATAGTGGTAAATTTCACCGGCTGGCGCTTATTGGTATAGGTGTCCATTACTTGGACCTGGCTATATGTTGACAATTTCTAGCAACAAAATATGCTATATAACGCACTTTTAGGAAAAGTCAAAGACTGGGGGACTTGAATATTTTATTTAGACGAAGTTAGATACAATCGAAAAGCCGCAGCATTTTACCCAATGATGGTTCTAGTGTTAGAGAGTTGATTTATCTGTATGATCCTTTTGGAGGCTGTGGTTTGTGGTGCTGTTGGATTGTACAGTGTTATACTGAGAGGTGTTTCTATTATTTTGTCCTATTTTGTCCTATTTTGTATATTAAACATAACACGCCCCAGTATCTCACCTGTTAGAGCTCCATGTAGTCCTTACCACAGCAGAGCAGGTTCGATTCCAGGCGGTGGCCCTTTGCTGCATTTCATCCCCTCTCTGTCCTTTCCCCATTTCCTGTCTATCTTCGGCTATCTCTATTAAATAAAATTGTAAAAAGACCAAAAGTAATTATAAGAAGAACATTATAACCTTAATGAAGGTAGATTTTAGTTGCGGGTCCGTTGTATTAGTCTGCATTAGTTATAACTAGGTGTGCCTCATAAAGTAGCAACTGTGCATATATCAGTGAGGGTAGAATGAATTCAAAGGCTTTCTTTAAAAGTTGTTAAATTTGTACAAAGCAGGTTCACAAAGAATTGGGGTTTTTTTTGCCCCTCGTCCAGTACCTTACACATGAATTGGAACACCAGCTGTGAGTCAGACCCTTATCAGTGCCCCATCACTAATGCTCTTGTGGAGTAAATCCCTGCAGCCAGGTACCAAAACCTTGTGGAAATCCTGAAACCAGAAGAGTCAGGCTGCTTATAGCAGCACATTAATAGCCATGCTTTTAGAATGGGAGTTCAATAATCACACATCGTGTTCAGGTGGTACACAAAATTAATGCCAAAATGGATTCCAAGTATTTCATAATGATGATTTATTTTTATCTGGCTTTATTTCTTCATTTTTGCTAATTCACTAAAAGTCCTTTTCATTCCTATTAATAATAAATCCCTTTTCAAAAATGTCTATAAGCCTGTAAATAGATTTGGCTTTGGCCCAGTGGTGATGCTAGCATCTGCAGGGGAGCTTAGAAACCGTGCCAGGTTGTGTGATGTTTACATTCATCAGCGAGACTGCAAGGCAGAAGATTTTCCATGCTAATGACTCAGGCTCTGCTCTGGCCAAGGTCAAGCTGAGGCTCAGACTGCCGCTGAGGAGAAATGAGGTCTTAAGCTCTGGCTGTCGCTGCGCGGCAGATTTGATGCTGAGGGGTGAAAGGTTGGCAAATAATCTCCCAGGCTTGAATATCCTCTGGCTCGCATTGCTGTTTTAATCCATGGATGTGTGTGTGTGTGTGCGCATGCAGCAGAGACAGAAAGAGACGGGAGAAAATAAAACAATTAAAGAGACAGAGCCAAGAACCGCATCGGCTGTGTGTAATAGTCCAAAACGCCTCAGGAGAGTCTCAAGTGTTCTGTCATCTGTCGGCTGTCTGATTATTGAGGCTGTACTGATACTGACACATCCTGCAGTGTGACGCAGCCCAAGGAAACAACTGTTTATTGGGCTCTGTTGCGCCGAGATAAAAACCCGGCATTGCTTTGATTTGAGTCATGTTTGCCCCATAGATGTTTGGCTAGATGACTTGTTTGCATCGAGAGGCTTGTTCGTAGGGTTGTGTCTGTTTATCGCTCTGTTTGTGGCTGAGCCTGCGGGGCATCGAGTAACCACATAATCAACACTTGTGTGCTTGAAAGGGAAAGATTAATAAAAGGAATAAAAATGTTGGTTTTAGTTTGGTGTGAAACTGATGTGAGACACACAGTTGGAAATAGTTTTCTAGAACTTTTTTAGTGCTCAGGTTTGGGAAACTCTTCTCAGCACAAAATAAGCTTAATGTCTATTTCTTTGATATTGTCATTGCAGGATACAAATTTGGAGTTACCGGTTAACAAACTTGTCTTGTTTTGCCACTTGTGACAAGATAAAGTCAACAAAACTGCATGACAGTTTAGGTAACATTATAAATAACATCTTTGGGGCTTGCTTTTTGAATTATCTCTTGAAACCATGGAGCCAAAAGCTTGCATGGTGGAAATAAATTACAGTTTATCAATAGACAGTTTTTATTGCCTATTGATACACTGTAAAACAATAATCACTCAACCTGGTGGACATGAAGGGGCTTCTTGGTAGGAAGAAAGGTTTGTTTGTAATACAATAAAGTGTAACCAGTAAAACTCAAATTTTATCAATCACATACAGAAAACAATTGATCTGTGTAAAGTGCTGTGATAAACGTGTGCTCCAGTTTAGACATATTTAAAAAAGAATGGGGAACAGCAATGGCTGAGATATCTTGACTTATACTTTTTAGTATGGGTCAAGCTCCAAAAACACTGGATCCTACATTTCCCATAATGCAAGTCAATAATGGCTTTCATAAAACCGTTCCTCTGCCACTTAAATGCACTCTTCTTTTAAACCCCACTTTAAACACAGCTGACATTATCAGGGTTGTTTTTCAAGCTTTGAAAGTTTCCCTCGAAGTTACAATTGCTTAGCGCCAGAGAGACCATGGGATAATATATAACATCTTTAACAACATCTTTCACTTTGAGGAGAGTGTATCTGTAGCATTGCAGGGGTAAATATATACACAGGGGCTACATCCTCTTCTGCTTTTCTTTCCTCCCCTTCTGTTCGCCTAATATAGACCCGTAACAAAACAACAACTCACTGTCTCAATAGCATTTTGCATTTTCTCCCTGCATCATCTAGCAATGTTGTCTTTGCTCTGAGCCACAAACTGTAGTTGTGGCTCCGGAGATGCTCAACGAAAAAAAAAAATCTCACCTCACTTTGTCATGCGCTTTTCTATTCTTGCTCAATTATCACTTGCACCTCACCTCAGTCAGCACAGTGGTAACTGTACAGTATTTATAGTAACAGCTGCTTCGCTGACATGTTTTTTGGCATATAGGGTGGAAAACTAGAATGTAATCTAACCAACCTGATTGTCAGTGAGCCAGGAGGAAGGTGTGTGTCTGCAAACTAGTGAGTTTTTTTAATCTTATATATCCTAGGATTTCACCATGCATGCCATGTAAATTTAGTTACATTTAATAATGTTTATTAATAAAATGGTTAAAAATCAGTTAGCAGGCCATAATATGTCTAGTTCACATTTTCTAGGGTTTAGTTTTAGTCTTCTGTGATTGGTAGAGGTGACTGTAGAAGTGTTACCTATGATTGGTGGGGTGGACTACAGGCTATAAATATTCAGAATTCAAGAAGAAAGTAGTTAGACAACAAAAACATAGAATTAGTGGCCTAAAAATGTGCATCAAACACTAAGAACTAACAAAAAAGCTGCATGTCTTTCTGTGCCATAGTGCTGCTCTACTTTACAGTTTTAGCATGTGAAACTGCTGCCCTCTGTTGGAGAGATCTGGTGATTTATAAGACAGGAACATTCCCCACTACCACTCAATACAAAGTTTACTTGATTTATTTGTCCTGCTAGTAACATAAAATTGACTAAATGCAACCCGCATTGTTTGATTTTCTTTTCTTTTTGTCATTCGTTCAGTCTGTCTGGATCTATCAAATTGCACTCATTATTTCCCATTGGCAACTTAACTCATGGTATCTCATGCATTAATAATGTCCTTTACTAAGTGAATTATGCAGTCTGCACTGCAGGATGGAGAACATGGAGAGAGGGGATGAGCCTCCAAAAGCTCACCTTCATCACAATGAGGCGGCTGGAAAAAGAAAGAGACAATCTCATCACTTAAGTGAAAGAAAATGAGAGTTGGCTCATCATTATACTACCTTCTCTCATTATTACTTATTCTTTCTCTTCCCCCCCTCACTTTCCTTTGTTATCACTCACATATCACGGTGCCCCTAGAAACGTTCTCCTTGACTAGCCAAGGTGACTGGGCGTCCCCAGCCGAGCGGATCCGACAGCCCAATGGTTGCTCTCCACATGGAATGCTTTTTAAGCCACCCCTGTTGTAGTCAGCAGGCAGCGGTGGAAACTGGCCATGCGGGAAATCGTTTTTATGTTTTGGGGGTTTTTTTTTCCCCCATATCATTTGCGAATGCAGCGTAATGTTTTGCTGTGCTGCTCTGTTCATCATCAGACAATGAGATCCAATCATTCCCCACTGAGCTGTGCCAGCAGGCTGCCAGTGGACGCACCAGGCAGGCAGGGAGAGCAAAGACTAACTGGACCAAATGCTACCATTAGACCTCTTTCTTCTTGTCACTGGCATAGAGATGTCTGGTGTTAATAATTAGTTTAGCACTGTCCAGCAGTGGAAAGATAATGCAGATGCAATTGCTTTTGCAGAAATGCATTAAAGAACAAATGTACATAAGCGTCTATACTGAGGGTGTTTGTCAAATGATGCTGCATATCAAGTAATTCCACTAAGCGTGCACAGTTAATGAAAATGCTAATTGGTAGTTGATGTCTGTTAATTCCCCGAAGCCAGCACCCAGTCCCGCAGATAAACAGCATTAATGAAATTTTAATTGCAAAAGTTGATTTAAATGTAGCTAGTGGCACGCCGTAACAATAAGTCGAACTGTTTCGATGCCGTCTGCGCCGTCACAACAGGCGTAATAATGAAGTAGAATTGTCACGGCCATGCTTTATGTTGTCAAAAAGTTCCCTCAGTGAGCTTTTATTTGCATAATTTCTTAATAACTCACTGTGTGTTGACAGAGGAGTGTGTGTGTGTGTAGCAGCAGGGATGAAGGACCTAGATTGCCTTTATCCCCCTTATGTTCTGTCTGTCTGTTGTACAAGAGTGTGTGTGATTGCTACATAATTTTAAATACACACACCTGCATGCAGAGGGTCTCGAGGGAACCCTCTGGGTTTCAAATCTGAAATGAGTTGAAGTGAGTTTCTCTCGCTTAAAATGGTAGACATGCACACACACACACACAGAGAGAGGCAACAGCAACCCAGAAAACTAAAGTTATCTGGTGAAGTACACTGCGTAGTTGTACCTGGTGAGAAATTGCTGTTTGATTCATTTCTAGGAAATGTAGCTGGGTTCTGTTCTGGCTGTACTGAGATTAAAAGCCATTGTGATTTATGACCTCAACATTTGTTACTCTGTGTGTGTGTGTGTGTGTTTGTGTGTAGGTTTAAGAGGGACATACAGAGTGAGTGAGTCCAAATATAGCAAACAGGTCAGCCAAGAGTTAGTATGCTGGAGCAGTACAGCGGAGGGCAGACAGCGTTTTATTTCCTGCAGATTTGACCTCATTTTTAGGGGAATTATTGTCCTTTTATGGGGGGATTCTATTACTATTAATTGATAAACAATGAATTGATTAACAGCATTTTCTTCTGGTACTGCATACTGTGGGTTTTGGCACTGTTATTAAAAACTGCTCAATTTAACACCCATAAATCCTGTGTGATGGCCAATAGGAGACAACATTCATGCATGAATGTTTTAACAAGTATCTGTGTGGAGAGAGCAATGCAATACAATGAGTACTGCTAATTATACAGCATTTGTATACATTTAAAAGACATTTTTCCCATAACACCTGTTAATTTCCAACCCTGATAAAGGAGCAACAATCTGATTCTGTTGGCCTGCAGCTATGTAATTAACTTGTGTCTCTGCTGTGTGAGTTTTTATTCACTGTCATTATGTTTAATGGTCATTTTCCTCTCACTCTTTCCAGAGGAGATTTTCCAGTCCCATATCGCCCATTGGTGGTCTCCAGATGGTGCCAGGTTAGCCTACGCCACCATCAATGACACCCTGGTGCCCAGGATGGAGCTGCCCATGTTCACAGGCACACCCTACCCAATGGGGAAAGAGTACCACTACCCTAAGGTGCACAGTTTTATTTCACAACACTACTTTGACAACTGATAATACATTTCTGTTCAGCTAGAAGCGTTATTTAAATCCTCTCCTCTTTGCTCGTCCCGTCCAGGCCGGTGAGGAGAACCCAGTTATCACTCTGTATGTTGTGAACCTTAACGGCCCTCTTCACACCATCGAGATGAGGAGACCTGATGATCCCAGGATAGGGTGAGGCTGTCAACCAAACAATCTCTCTCCTCAGTCAAGTCATACACACTTCCTGTAACATCCTGTAAACACATATTCGCATGTGTAACCTCTCTTTGTGTATTCATGTTCTGATGCTATTTAGGTTTGTCTCTCAAATATCATATTGTTTTTAATTCTAAAATGTGCATATCTGTGAAGATTCTACAAATTATATTTTTCCAGTGATACATTTTTACTTAATTTGGTCCTGTGTTTAGTTCCATTAAGTTTAATATTCCCATTTGCTCTGTTCGTATTTATACCCAATTTTTTATTCCTCTTTCGCTGTGGCTCATTATACGCTCCTCTAATATCTCAATTTCTCTGCAAGAGATCATTAATGTTTCATCCCTTTTTAAAATTCTATCACAATCTGCAATTAGTAAATGGAAACATTGTGGGGCTCTTTTTTTTTTCGCTTGCTGTCTTAATTTCTGATATGTTTGTTATTTACCCACTGATGATGCTATCACACAGTGTAAACAATGTGAATCATTATTTGAGGATTTCTCTGTGTTTGTCAGTGAGTACTACGTGACCATGGTGAAATGGGCCACCACCACCAAACTGGCCATCAACTGGTTGAACAGAGCCCAGAACATCTCAATACTCACACTGTGTGAGGCCACAACGGGAGTCTGCACAAAGGTACAACGGAGTTCTCTCCGTGCATGTGTGTGTGTGTATATATTGTGTGTACTGTACAGTATGTATCAGAGACACTCCAGGCCTGTTTTCATACAACAACTGAAACCTGTTTTTACAGAAACATGAGGATGAAAGTGAAGGGTGGCTGCACAGACAGGTAAGAATATTAAGTTATAAGTTATAAGTTATAGTAGGAGGTAAACTTGCTTATATTCAACTCTTAAATTGTTGCCTGCTTTTTTATGTTGTCTTTTGTAAACTATAATGGGGGGACGTTTGCAATAACCAACCTATTTCTATAGTTTTATGTTTGTGGTGCTCTATTTATTTATGTTTTGTTAATTAAAATATGTGAATGATATTTTCTGTGTATTCAGAATGAGAAGCCTCTGTTTTCCAAAGATGGTCTGAAGCTGTTCTTTACCCGTGCCATTCCTCAAGGAGGCAGGGGCAAGTTCTTCCACATCTCCATGTCCATCTCTCAGGTAAGACAATATGTATGTCTTCAGTATTGTTTAGAATTAGCAAAAATACACTCCCTGTTTATTATACAGTCTGTTTATTATTTATTTATAATGTAATATTATTTAAAAATGGCTTTTAAAGAATGAGTATTGGTCCGTTGGCAAGTTTGCATTTAAAGAATTTAAACTCTTGGTATTTTATAGACATTTTGGCAATACAATCAGCACTTTTACTGTCTTAATGTGCCCTTATTACTACTTTTCTGCTTATCCCCAAAGCCCAACACCAGTACAGACACACTGCAATCCATCACGTCTGGAGACTGGGATGTCACCCAAGTCCTGGCCTATAATGAGGACAGCCAATTGATGTGAGCACCTACAAAAACCGCCAGCAATCAAAAGTCACATGCACTTAAGCTCATCTATTGGATATTTATGAAGTTCTGTCAAGCTGTCTTTCTTTTAGAGATCCTGCAGGGACATCAGAAATAAAGCTAGCTTGCTGCTTCAGCAAAACTCACTTTGACTAGGTTTTTGCTGAAGTTTTCATGCGAGAGGGACAGTGGGTCAAATGTTTCAGCACCATGGACAGAGACAGAAAGAGACCCTGCATTTGAGTGCCTCAATACAGAGCACAATGAAGCAGATTATTTGACACTGTTTAAGATGAATAATGATTTTTGACAGGAGTATAGCTCATACTGACACTGATGCCACAGTTTGAGACAGCAGCTATACTCGCTGTGTATTCTGGTGAGCCTGATGTTCTAGCAGCTCGTACAGTTCCACACAATAAACCGCTCTAAATGTGTTCAGTGTAACAGCGTCTCTGTTGCACCCTTGAGGAATGTGACTCATCCTCATCACCCCAAGATAATTTCATGCCCACACCCCAGTTCAAACCATGATCTAACTAACATGGTGTACACACCTGCATTTACAAACACACACACACATACACATACAAAAGTGCATACAAACAGTTATTCATTACACAGTGTTGGAGTGATCTGAAAAACCTAAAATCCTTTTCGCAGAGGGGGTACGATTTGGCCTACTTCTGTTCTAAAAAGGATTCCCTCTTTTTTTCCCCCCATCTTTCATTCTAGTGAGTAGTTGGGTCATTGCATGTGTGCTCCAGGTGCTTTTTTTTTCCACTTCCCGGGCTGAGTGGTGAACACAGCTCTGCTAAACTCACATAAAAGACTAAACAAACCAGTTTGAGTTGTTGTGTGCAGCTGCTGTGTATGTTACAGTTAAACTCAAATCTGCTGCTATGATTCTTCTTTTCTATTAATATAGATACTTCTTGAGCACTGAGGATGGTCCAAAACGAAGACATTTGTACAGGTAACGGCTGTTTTTTTTATTTTGTTATCAGCAGTTGTTGCTTTAGAAGTGGGACAGGAATATTTTGCATGTGTCCAAATTTCTTCTTTGTTTCCACAGCGCCGATACCTTTGGTTCGTTCAACCGCCGCTGTCTGTCGTGCGCCTTGTCCGACAGCTGTGGCTACATCAGCGGCTCCTTCAGCCACAACATGAGCTATTTCCTGCTCAACTGCCAAGGTAGCTAACACAGTATCTTTGAGTCACATCGCCCTCTTTTTGAACTACACTCTATCTATCTTTGTCCAACTTATCCACTTTATGTAGACGCATAGGGATCTATTTTAACAATGAAGCAATAAAGTGTGCAAGGTCAAAATGGGCGTATCCAAGCACAAACCATGAAGAAAATAGGTTCACCAAGAGTCCACTCGTCCAGTTTGGTTGCTTCAAGAAGGAAAATAATATTAGTCTTTGTGTGTCCATTCTCCAGTCTTTACTGAAAAGAAAGAACTCCCATCTTGTTGTGCCTCTCCTTCCACCTTTGATCCATATATGCTGTGCTGAGCATGACAACAACAACAAAAGAGGCAAAGTGCTTTTCAAGATCAGAAAAATATCAAAATGTCATATCACTGTCTTCACGCTGCCACAGAAACAGAGAGAGTCAAAAGATTCATGTTTCTGTGATTTCAGTCTGACTGAAGCCTCACAGCTTCAATATTTAATCACTGATCCAACACTTCTGTGTCAGTCACCTCTGAACCTCCATAAGTGATCATCACTGATCTTGGATCAAACAGGGAACGACCATAATGCCATCAAACCCTCTCTGCACACCTCAGAAATCACTGATCGTCAGTGGTCCTGCACCTCATACATTTGTAATCCACCTCTCTACTCACAGCCTGCCTGGAAGAATTTATGTGATGAGGCTATGATATCATTACCACAAAGAGAGAGCGTGGGTGGAAGAAAAGGAGGCAGCGAGCGAGTGGATGGTGTACTTTCCACCGTACGCAACCAGAGTGTTCCTGTACCGTGTTCCCAATTTGCTAAGTGCACCAATCACTTCATCTGTTGTCCCTTCTCCCTCTGATTTCAGGTTTTAAGGCTTTAGGGTGAGAGGGTTTACCCGTTTGTGGCCTAGATATGGTGATTCCAAATGTCATGCTCAAATATAAAAGTACACATCTGTGACACTTTTTAAATTCATTTTCTTTTCTAGGCTGGGACATCCCGTTTGTAGCTGTCTACAAGACACAGAGAGATGCAGAAAGTGAGACCCAAGACAGAGAGAGTGAGTAGTTTAACCAACTAAATCATAAATTTGCATTTACGAGACTCTAAAATATGTTAAAGACATTACGAGCGACCTTGTGACGCAGTAGCATAATAGCTACACTGAAATTGACCTTGTCAAGAGGGGACAGAAGTGTTTCCGTTGCGGTGCAGAATGACCACCTGCGCTCTGAGTCACTGTTTGTCTACAAGCCAAGTCGAGCATGATGGCAGTAATCACATTACTGCTCACAATGGATGTCCTCATTAAATTATGACCTGCCCAATGGCAATATCAGCATACTGTAATTTGATTATTTGTGTGTGTGTGTGTGTGTGTGTGTGTGTGTGTGTGTGTCAATGTCATCTTTTACCAATATGATGTCCCTTCCCTGACTATGTTAAAAGAAGCCAATGAAATGTTATCACCGTACATTATGGGATATATTTAACTGTTTAACAATATTAAGTGCAGTAATGTTTCCCAAATGTTCACCTACTAATCTGGTGACTTTGCTGTTTTTTAAAAAGCTTTTTCTATGCTGACAGATCTAAAATTGTCTTTAAATCAACATGACTGACGTTCATAAAGTATGGAAAGTGCCGTCATAGCAATTCAGCCAGGATGCCATACATATTAACAGCTATCGTAGCTGCTCTGTGTGTCTGTAACTGTCTGTAACTGTCTGTAACCTGCTTGCAATGCCAATGTTAAAATGCTGATGTTGGGCAGGTATAATGTTAACCATGTTTTCCTGCTAAACGTGAGCATATTACTATAGCATTGTCATTTTGAGCTTGTTAGCATGCTTACACAAAGTACAGTTGCGACTGATGGGAATGTCATTAGTTTTGGCTAGTATTTGGTCATTAACTACAGTATTGGACACATTTTGACCTGATGATGGGGCTGGTTCAAATTGGTTAAACCACTGGTTCAAATTGGTTTAAAGTCCACATACGATTTATTAGAATTCAACATGAACAGGGAAACATGAATGTCTGAACCAAATTTCATGGCAATCCATCCAGCAGTTGTTGGTGGACAATGTGGCGGTCGACATTGCCAACCTAGAACCAAACTACTAATGTGACCAATAGAAATGTCTTGTTTCAGTGCTTTTAATTTGTAATAGGACTTGTTTGTGCTTTGTATGTGGCGTTACACTGAGCAGTGATAGTCAAGTTCATGTCAGAATTAGTGCATACATGCATACAGAAACACTCTGATCGCTCCAGTCACTAATCCAGGCAGAGCTCTTCTCCCTTTCAGAAGGTTTAATTGAAGTTTTCCTCAGCCTGGCAGGTTTTATCTGAGTTTGTCAGTACAGGCAGGTCGGGCAACCGTCTGTGAATTTCCCTCCTGGATGCTGCCTTTTGACCGTACACACAAACCAATCCCAACATACAATGTTTGCTTCGTCCCCTTTGACTTCAGCAGTCATAGCAACCAAGGGCGATAAGTTAGTGTTGCAGACACCAGCTGTAGCTGTTGAATGAGTACAGCTGGTTCTCCTTTCAGGACAACCTCTTGAGACTTGAAGTTTGCCTTAAGCGAATTCAGGTCACAATCCAGGTTTCAGCTGCAGTCGTGTCTGTTTTTTCTGGTTTGCATTTTGTTTAAGCTCCTGCTGAAAGTTTTGGAGAAAGAGAGGCTCTGATATTGTGTGGAGCTTCCTTGTATGAATTTTAATGCATGCAATAGCTCCATATATATTTCTAAACCATCCAACTGATACTACTGTATTTTAATAATACTGTATTTTATTGCTCTAGGATAACTCACCAACCATTTAACAGATTGGTCATACATATATTAATGAAAAACTATAAAACATTCATATTAAATATCATTTAAAATAAAATTAGATGTCCATGTCCAAGTTCAATCAATTTCCCTTTCAGTGACACATTTAAACAAAAAATGAAGATTAATAATGACATTTCAATAGTAAATTGGTTTTGGTTTTGATGACATCACATCACATTAGAACTCCACAGAAATAAAAACAAGATGATTGAATTTTTGTTTTAATTTTATGATGAGAGTTTTTTTTGCTGTATATTGTATCATGACTTGCTTGTCAGGTATCATAACTATGGCTTGAAATATGTTTACTTTTCGCCGTGTTTTTGTCCGCACATTAATACAGTGAACATTGTAAAGCTCATTGGTTAATCGTTTGCCGTCTACAGGTATTGCAGAAGTACATAAACTGGAGAGCAATGAGAACCTGAGGGTGACCTTGGACTCTATGCAGATGCCCATAGTGGAGTACAAGGAGATCAACATGGATGACTACAGTATGTGTCACAACCACAGTCACATTAATGTACAAGTGAAGACCACATATGCAAACCTGATAGTTGACAAACTTTACAGACATTAGACACTCACGTAAGAGTCAGTAACAGTTGTTCCCAACCTTTTTGACCTGTAACCCATTAAAATGAAGCAGCATTGATATGTGAATTAGCTCGAACAAAGATTTTTTTAAATGAAGATTCTCCCCTCTTATATTGTGTATTTTGACTGTATTTTAGAGGCCCAAAGAGGTTAAACTATCCCAGTATTTCCTTTTTAAAAACAACCTTTGTTAACAAATGTTAACTTTTTTCCCAGCTGCTGTACAGTACAGTAAACTGTGATGTTTTAATTGTAATTTGGAAACACACCAATTGATGAGACTCTCCATCCCTCCATTCCTATGTGAAATCACACTTCCTCATTTACATTCTCCACTGACTGAAATCTGTTTTTTTTTAAAGCACTAAATGAAATTCAGATGCACCTATGAAAAATGAACTTAATGCAGATGGCACAGAAACTTTACTATGATTCATGATACTTTGTCATCATTAATTGGTAATTAAAGATAACACATTTACAGGGTTCAAAATATACATTAAAGTTTGTCCCAATTAATGTCTGAGTGAATTTATGGTGTATTGACAGCACTGTGTGACTTACAGCTGTTTGTATCTGCATTACAGCCTTGTCGATGCAGATCCTCAAACCTGCCGGCTTCGTGGAAACGTCCCACTACCCCCTGCTCCTGCTTGTGTATGTATGAGCGCACGCTTTCACACACGTCCGCAGAGTACATTTGGTGCACACACACTTTATGTCCATTAGCAGCATTGACTCATGTCTACACTTCACTCTGAGTTTTATGAGGACATGGCTGTCCTCATCATTGTAGTCTTAATCGTGCATATTAATCTAAAGACAAGCCTCTTCTCTAGCTGGATAATAATTACACTGTGAATGAGGAAACTTACCCTCCTGTCCACCCCTTTCTTTCATTATCATTTCTTTCCTCAGGCATTTAACTATATTTAACTCTGCAGCTAAAATCTAAGCTTTTCAGAATTTGGCCTTTTGTGCTCTGCCTGCATATTTCTGAAAGAAAAACATTACCATATTTCCCTGTATGCTCCTTTTTCTAATCTTATGAAAGTGGCCATGGTGGCTTATCTATGAACACCGTGCTACATTAGCATTAGTTAAAGTTAAGTCAACTTTCCAACTTTTTTTCCCCCAACAAAAGGGTTTATGTTTTAGACTTAAACAGCACCCACAGGTCTTAAATAATCAAAGAGTCAGCAGCATCTGCAATAATAATCATTTTTAATAGATATCAAATTTCACTGTTCTGGAGTATTCATTCTTATACTGATATTCTGATGATGTTGGATTACCCTCCCTACACAATGTAGCTCACTGCCAGCTCACAGACAGCCACAGTAAATAGTAAACACCCAAACACATTACACACAACCTCCTAATTTCTATCCTACTTTTTCATTTTTATTCTGACATCAGTTAGAAAAGCATTGCATTTAGCAGTCCTCTGTGTTGGTATCTATGCAGTGACGGGACACCCGGTGGCCAGATGGTGGCGGAGCAGTTTCACATGGACTGGACCACGGTGCTGGTGAGCAGCTTCGGCGCCATCGTGGTGCGCTGCGACGGACGAGGCAGCGGCTTCCAGGGCACCAACCTGCTGCACCGGATCCAGAAGAAGCTGGGCGTGTTCGAGGAACAGGATCAGAATGATGCACTCAAGTATGCAATGTTTTCATCTCGTCTTTTTAAAAATGTAACAGACGTTAGAGTAAACATGCAGTAAATAGCTACATGGGTTATTTTCAATACCACTGACATACTCTAACATCTCAACACGTTTCCAAAAAATGGGGGTTTCCAATCTGTTTATTTCTTGATATTTTCCACATTTAGAAACAGGGTGAGTATAATTTTTTACAGGTTAATTTATATTTGAGGATAGGTAGATTAGCTTATGAAATAGTATCTGTGTTGACATAAAGACATTACATCTCAGTAGGGATGAATTGGCTCATAAAATAAACTTAAATCTGTGTAAAACAAGAAATTTCTATTAAATCAGAACATGCCATTATATTAAGAATATGTGTACATTTTATTTGAAGCATGCTCACACGTATCACAAAAGTAGTTGGATTTAATAACTGTAACAGCATTAAAACGATAATATAATCTGTTTTTAATCTGTGAAGCACTTTGCTTTTAAAAGTGATGCTGAAGCAGCAATAATCACTTGTAGCAGTTCTAGTGTTTCTTGTCGTAACAGGAAATGTTAAAAGTTCCTTATTGCTGAAGAAACACCTTGTATGTGTGAGCTACAGCTGCTATGACAGAGACGTTCTTCCTAACAGGAACCAATGTTTATCTTTTGCAGTTTTATTTTGAAAGAGCCCTACATTGACAAAACCAGAGTTGGAGCTTTTGGAAAGGTAAGAACATACTCAGTGTATGTACTTGTTGGACTGTTATGTTCTTGGAGTGTCAGTTTGGGTACAGTGTGCCGTGTGTCTGCTGTATATTTGAAAGTGGAGTTCCTCGGGCACTGATGCATTTCTGTCTTACCTCAGGTGTATGGAGGTTATGTGACCAGCCTGTTGGTCAGCGGCGAGGAATCCCCTGTAAAGTGCGGCGCTGTCCTCTCGCCCATCACCGACTTTGAGTTATATGGTGAGCTGTGTTTGTTTGTGGTCTCTGCTGTATGTGCTGCAGAAGAATCTCTGTGTAATCACTCAGGCTCCGGCAGAAAGCATTCAAAAGGAAAAAGGCAGACAGAGATTGCGAATCTGGCACTTTCCCCCCTGCAGCTGGGTATTATTGCAGTGGCTCTGTTATACATGTACTGTATGTACTTTGTGTGTGAAAGAAAAAAAAAATGTTTTCACCTTATCTGCGATGGTGTAGATACGCCTTAGAACCCAATCTTAACACTGCCAGGCAAAGTTAAGTACCCCAGCCTCACCTCCGCTACCAAAGGAATAAAATGTGTGAAATGTAGAATAGTGTGCGTCAGGAGAGAGACGGAGGTCTTGTAGCTGCACCGAGTCAGGAAACTGCAAATTAAGGAGGAGCTGGGCGTCGTGGTGTGACTGATTTCCTATCTATTTGATTTATCTTGCGTTTGCCAGACAAGGTGAGAGACATGCCATGACACTGTATAAGTTTGGAATTGCAAATGAAGATGGTCCGCAAAGGCTTCGAGACTAAAGAATATGTAGATTGCTGAATGTATTTGAATATGGAGAAGAAACAAACCTGGAAAAGTGTACTTTTTTCCCTTCAAAGTGGCCAGAGAACAAGACAGAAATGACACACCAATCTTGTTTTTATTATGAAGTTTTGAATTGAATTGACTTGAAGGTAAAGTGTTAATGGAAACCTTGTCTCTCCCCTGTAGCCTCTGCATTTTCCGAGAGATACCTCGGACTGCCTAAACCCGATCCAAGGGCATACACAGTAAGGTTTGATTGTGAAATTCCAGTTGTGATGATTATTGTAGCATCTAATTAGATCTAATGTGCTGCTGCGTGTCTCATTACTCCTCAGATGGCAAATTTAGCCCACAGAGCATCTCAGTTCATAGATAAGAAGTTTCTTATTATCCATCCGACAGCTGATGGTAAGATGAGGATTTCTACACCTTTAAAATCTTATTAAGCAATAGTATGTTCTGTTTCTGACATCTGGGCCTACGTCTAATTATGTTTTCCCAGAAAAAGTCCATTTTCAACATACAGCGAAATTCATCGCCCAGCTCATCAGTGAAAAGGCCAACTACACTCTACAGGTATGTGGTTTTACCTTCACTCCTTTGTAATTACAGCCGCTGCTGATCCAATTTCCCTACTTGTCTTTCTTCGCCTGGTTCAGTTCTCCTCCAACCTTTGGGAGCTTTGTGATCCCAGTGGGATCCCACAGCGGGCGGAGGATTAGCCCTCACAATGCCTTCATTCCACATAATGAGATTATGAGACCTTCTTGGGCATCCTGCATTACCACCAGGACTAATCCAATTAAGACACAATGTACTGCAGCTGAATGTTCATTGGAGCTTATTACTGACTGATAGGTTACTGTGCACACATGCATTAACCTGTTTTTTCATAGCTCTCAAAAAGGTTTTAGGTCAACCCATATAAACATGTTGTAATACGATATTTCTGTTAAGTGCATACTCCAGAAATGTAGTCCTATTTAGTGAAAAATTAAATCCAAGAATGTTAATGATAAATATTAGCTTTTCTTTGTTTAGAATTATTTAAAATTGCATCCCTTTTGTTTTTGCTAACAAAACATCACCTAACACAATAGCTAACTAGATAGGGGTGTTCACATTTTTTACACCACTAGATGCGACTACATCCTACACAATGGACTTTTAAGTTAATTTTCCTAATTATACTTACATACTTTTACTTTAATAGGAAGGATTTTTCCATCTAATGAATGAGTTTTACAGTGTGGTATTGGTATTTTTACGAATCTGACTTTTGATCTTGTTCAACCACAAGTTACTGACCATGTAAACTTTTAGTTTGAAGAATTTGAAATCACCACAAGTTTTGGTTTTCTGGAGTGGAAACTGCATACTTGAGTTTGTGGTAATGTCAAAACTTTCTATCTCATGTAAATAATAAATCTGAGAGATCTGCTCCACCTACACCTTCACCAGTGACTTATCCCACTATCAGCCCAATATGGAAGACATCAAAATATAATCATCTGATAACTGTTGGTGTGTCTGTGATCGAAAATGTTGCCAAAAGCAACGTCTCACCCATGTAAACCTTTGTGTCTCAGATCTACCCAGACGAAGGCCACTTCATTCACAGCGAAGCAACAAGGCAGCACCTCAGTCAGTCCCTGGTGAACTTCTTCGCAGAATGCTTCAGGCTACCAGAAATAGTATTTGAGGAGGCGCTGGAGGAGGAGAGCGAAGACGAGGGTTAGCCTGGCCTCCCGAGGTTCACATGCTCCCAAATCCTTCCCACCCATACGTTCCGCATACACTAACCTCCATCCTGTCTCTGTGCCCAAGCACAACACTGGCATACAGTCATCCACAATATGCAACTCTCACCTGTTCTCAGTTTGATTTGGTTTGCATTTGGACTCCCCGTGTCCGCATGCTGAACCTGAGACTGCCTTTCCAGCAGAGGACAGATCTACTCTTACATCCACCCCAACATCTTCTGCCCCGAGTTCAAACCCAAAGGCCCCTCCAGAGAGCCAACAAAGACTGATGACCTGACGTGATGTTTTGGAATATACAGATCGATTTAACAGGAAGCTTCACAGCAGGATGGACCAGCTCCTCAAAAGCAGTGGAGAGAAAGCATCAGCTCTCACACAGACTTTGAAGCTGTGAGGAAAAGGAACACCTTATAGCACATAACTGGTGGGATTGTATATTAATGAAACTCAGACGCCTGGTGAAAAACATCGGTTGTTCACAACGGGTGTCTGGAATTGTGCAGATAACAGGAAATGTTACTATTTTTAAAGTTGTGAAGAACTTTCATGTTGGACTGTGGTTGTGTCTATTGTTCTTACAGTATGTAAAATAGCACACAAACATTCACTCGGCTATTACGGATATATTTTCTTTTGGTATTCCTGTTTGCCCTGATGTTGGTTTCATCTCGTAGCCTATTTTATTTATTTCAGTGATGCTGACACAATTCTCTTAACTGGCAAAATGTTTAGAAGAAAAAAAAATACCATGGGTTTGTTCATGTTCATTTGAGACGGTTTTATTGTGACGATCAAGTTTAATCAAACAGAAGCATCAATTTGTTTTAGTCACTGTGCCTTACTTTGTCAGAAAAGTATGCTGTGGGATTGCATTTATGAACTACAACGAGGCTAATTTTATAAGAATAGTTAGATATTTTGGGAAATTAGCTAATTTGCAGTCTTTTCAAGCGTTAGATTAAAAGATTGATTCCACTCTCATATTTGTCTGTTAAATTTAAAGGTACAACCGGTTAGCTTAGCATAAGGTTAGCAAGTCACACTGTGACTTGATGTATTTCACCTGTACAAAAACTACAAATTGTGGTTTTATGGGTCAGTTATGCTAGCTGTTTTCTCCCTGCTTTTAGTCTTTATGCTAAGCTAGCTGTCTCCTGGATTGGACTTCAGACAGATGTAACAGTGGTGTCAACCTTTTCATCTTAATTTGTGGCAAGAAAGCGAATAAGCATATATCCCAAAATGGCAGCTATTGTTAAAGGTCCAGTGTGTAACATTTAGGAGGGTCTCCTGGCAGAAATGGAATAGAATATTCATCGGTACGTTTTCATTAGTGTTGAATCATCTGAAAATAAGAATTGTTGTGTCCTTGTTAGCTTAGAATGAGCCGTTTTTGTCTATAGTAGCCCAGAACAGACAAACCAAACACTGGCTGTAGATAGGGCCTTTTGTGTTTTCCGTGGCCACCGTAGTTTCTCTGTCGCACTTTAAGACAAGGGGATTTAGTTGGTTGCAATCTGAAATCTCAGACGCTCGCTAGACGCCAAGAAATCCTACACACTGGTCCTTAAAATCTATAGCTTGAAATAGACTATACTATAATAAGACCTGCTCTCAACAGCTAATATGTGAAACTGAAGGGATTTTCACAGAAAAGAAAATGAACCATTCTCTGGAAATATGCCCACTGACATTACAACAAGATAAAATGTACAGAATCTGCATGCATCGTTGCTTTATAAGATGTTTAAGAACGGGAGGTGACGAACATGTACAACCAGTACAGAGACTGCAGTGTTCAGCATTGAAAGTGCTGTCACTTCACACTAAAGTGAATACATTGTTCAAGGTTGAAGGCAAGAAGCCATTAGGATTAGTGTTACACCCCGAGAAATTATGCATTTGTATATAAGATAGAAAAATGTCCAACGAAGACATACGAAATGATGAATTCCTGAGGCACAAGTTTAATTTTCCATTTTTAATTTGAATGGCCATTTGTGTTACGTTTCAGTGCATGCTAAGAAGTTATTTGCAGCACTATCCCGATAGCTCAGCTCCACATGGTAATTTTGACATCTTGAATGTTCCTTACTGGATTGCATAAATTACATTTCCAGTAGTATTGTGATTGAGATCCCAGTCTCGTCAGCTTGATGTGTAAATGTTATTCAAATATCATTTTATTCTAAAAAAAAAAGAAAAGAAAAGAAAACAGAAACAATATTACCTGAGTGTTATTTGTGCATAAAGCATTTTGGAAGTTACATTTGACTATTCATTTCTGTTCTCCTGTTGCTGTCCTTGAATTGAGTTGAAAGTGGACTTTATAAATGCCAATGGCAATATCGAACTTTCTTGCCAGTGGTTGAGGACTTTTTCAAGACACTCAACTTTGTTATCCAAAGCATAGAAGGAGATTAATGTCAGACTGTGGCATGAAGGTAAATGTTAGAATAAAAAAATAGATATTTTATCAGCCTTCAGTCTTTTCTGGCTCATCTTTTTTGTTGGTCTTGTGAATTTTAAAGCTGTATTGATGTTTCTGGTCACTTGGGGGCAGGGGAACAAGAGGAAGACAACATTGACTCATGGCGACATTCACATTCAATTTGGAGTCATATTTCTGGTGACCCACCAAATGTAAGTCCAACATTTCCTCTGTTTTGGTTTCCAATAAACCCTGAGAGTAATATTCTGGCTCTGTAGTTGCTAAACGCTCCACTAGCTGGCTGCTAATTGTCTTGTTTGCTGTTTGGTGCTGAGAAGGCAGTGTAAAGTTTGTTCATCAGATCGTTTTTGCCGAAAACATCTGCCTGCTGCGACTGGAAACAAGGTTTTATATTGCACATAAATTCTCATTTTATCAATATTTTTCCATAGGCAATAGATTAGTGCAGCTTAAAATACATTTCATTTTCAAAGTGTAGACTGTAAACATTCAAGTTTTCAAGGCAAAATTCTTTACAATGTCACTGTTCACTCTCCGTAATGACATTTAATTACTCAGCTGTAAATCCGGCTACAGCATCCACGAGAATCAACAATCTTGCAAGAATTACGCTGCGTGTATAAATCTGTCCTCTTTTTAGTTTACTTCTTGGTTAAGTTGCAGATTCAACAGATGGAGTGAGCAGCAGAGGCTGAATCAAACAAGCCAAATAATCTGCAAACATTCACAGGTCACGCGGGTGAAACAGCCAATCAGCTGCTGAAAAGGAAAAGCACTCCGCAAACAAACGTCAGAGCGAATTAGAAATAATAGATCTGCTCAAAGCCGCTCTTGGGCCCAGTGTAAACAGGATTGTAGTTGTATATCAGTGCTTTGCTCTCGTCCTCCTCAGATTCAAATCTGTGCGAGTTCTTCCTGGCTGTAAGAGGAGAAATAAATACAAGATTTATAGATCACACAGCACTGACTGTTCCATTAAGGCTCCCAAACATAATGCTGTGTTCGTACCTTCACTGACGAAGAATTCAGCCATGTAGAAGGTGGTCTTGACTGCTGATGGAGAGTGTGGAATGTAAGGCCTCGTCCATTCAAATGCATTTTTCTCTGGATGCCACTGTGTCCCGTAAATTGGGTAATCATACGCTGCCGAGAGGTAAGGGAGGAGAAAGGGCTCATTAAACAAGTTCCCTCCGGTATTATGTACTGATAAAGTGATGCTGCAGTCTAACTACCTTCCACCGTTGACACAAACTCTATTTTTCCATCCATGTTTGTGGAGAGAATTTTGTAAAACTTCTTCAGCTCCTCATTTGTGTCGTAAGTCTGAAAGAAGCCGAGAGGTTAGTTACTACGCACTCCCAATTAAACTACACCCTAAATAGTACTGAATGACGTACCTGCACTGCCAAACTCCACTTGTGAGAGTTCTCCGTCAACGGCTGAGAGGCCAGATCCTTCATGAGTTCAGCTGGGAAGCCTTTAAACATCCTGCTGTCTTTGGTTTCTGGAAATGGGTCATAAGACAATGGTCATTAATTAAAAAAATGAGCTTATTTAAACAAATGTGCACATTTTCACAAGGTATTTAAAGCAGTGAACGTAAAGAGGGTCCATTATTAACATGTAAAGTAGGGTTCCCACACCGTATTAAACATCAAATTCAAGCATTTTTCAAGGACTTCCCAGGCCCAATTCCCTCTAATTCAAGGACCCAACGGATCAAGGTTAATTACTGTTACAACACTGAGAATTTTTAGCATGAAAACTAGCATGCTACAGAAGCTCACAATTAAAAAGAGACTTCTCAAATTCACAACCCTTCAAGGCTTTAAAAAGGACCATGGCAGTGCTGCTACGACCTTTACATCTCTCTGAAAATGTGTCAAATGACGCCATACCGTCAGTGAAGTTCAGAGGCAATGGCACACCGCTTGTATTGGTGTGTGTCAGTATTGTTTTTCCACTCGTCAAATAGGTCAGCTGTTCAAATCCAAGACACGTGCCCCACACAGGAAAATAGTCGCCTTTCTTGTTTGCCTGAAACATCACGTACAGCATGCGGCATTATCCAGCATCAACACACACAACAAGAGTGTTTACTAGTATTATTACACTTTTACCTCAATAGCCAGCTCATAAAAGATCTTTGCAGTCTTTTCATAACCAGAGGAGATAATGCTGACACCCCCGCCTGGGTAAAGGATCCTGTTAACGAAGACACAACACGTTGAGTCATGATTCGCAAAGAGACGGCCACAAAATGGTTTTTCTTTCATTTTTTTTTTTAAAGAATATATTACAGAAGGTGTACAAAATAACAGGAAAGCATTTGATATGCTTGTGGCCTTCAGAGGTGTTGATTCAACTCAATGTGACATGTGTTAACGTTACTGTGTTGGCAGGCGCTCTGTGACTTTACTGCTTTCCACATTATAGAAATTTGCAACTGATGCACCACCTTCATAACGTCACTGTACCTTTGTAAGTAGCCAAATGTTGCTATATATCTCTAATTATTATATCTAACCTGTTTTACTTTTCACCAATTATTAAACGTATGACTTGCACATTTATCTGCCATTGTAAATAAGATTTACAGTAGCTTCTGCTGGTGCATCATGTAATATGACGTGGGTAAAAGTCCTGATGACATGGGGAAAACAAATACTTAATGGGATATTTGCTTCATAACAGCCTTAAAACAAATGTCTTTTACTTTAAACATTTAAAACTGCAGGGCTGTTATGGCTTTATGGCTATTCTGTAGATAAAGTCAACAGGAACCTTTCAGCAAATGTTATTGTGTTTGTTCATTTTGGAATAACATGACAGCTAAACTGGGTACTATATTATAAGACACTCACCCATTAATGGAGCTGAACAGTGCCTTATACTCCTCCAGTGTCTGGTTAATCCTGTAAAGGTGAACAGAGTGTGTTAACAGGCTGCTACACAAGCTGTCACACAGTTATGAAGTTGGGGAAGTTAGGTAGTAACTCACATGACAGGTACAACCCTCGCCCCTGCTGACTCCAGGTATTTGACATAAGAGGCAGCAATGTAAACTGTCTGATCTGGTTTTGGTGAATAAACTTCTTGAGCCAGAACACCTTTAAAAAAAAAGAACAAACAACCATTTTAAACGCGCATACGTAGTTAACGTTACGTGACTCGACACCGGTCACGTTGCAAATTAAAACAAGCATTATGGGTAAGTTGGATATTTTAGGTTGCATTGGCCTCAAAATGTAACCTAACTTGTATGTTGCAGTGAATACGTTTTAATAAACTTACCAATAATGGGTCTGTCGTTTCTGCTGGCGGAGGAATAAACCGGCAGACACGAAAGAGAAATGCAAAACAATAACAATGTCATGTTTCTAACTGTAAAACCTGATGTGGTTCGTGTGAGTGTCGCCATTTCGAGTTATGCTTCCTTGTCATCCCCTCTCTCCTTCCACCCTTTCCCGCCACTCTTCAGCTTTCACTGTGGATTAAAATGCAATAAAAAGCCTCAGAAATGTATAACAATAGCAGAAAGTTATGCAGCCCTGTCGAAAAACGGTAGCCAGTGTGCTTCCGCAGAACTGCTATATTACTGTCACAATACTTCCGGTCTACCTTCAAAATAAAAGCATCACCTTTGTCCTCACATTTTAAAAATATTGTTTCTAACAAACAATTAAGGAACAACGTGCAAGCATAAACATAAACATCTTTATAATATTTTCGGTGGTGATAATTATTCCAAAATATCCACTTATTTAATTGACTTTTTACTTCATTGCTCCAGCACTAGATTATGTCAAACCAACATGACAAACATATTTCCAAAAAGCTGTATTTAAGGACACATTCAAGTACTTTCTAGGACAATGGCGTAAAATAGTGTTGTGTAATAAATATGCAATAAAGATAAGTAAAACCCATTTTAATAAGCAATTAATAGGAAATTACAAACTGTCCGTCTTGTGGGAATTTTTCTAATTGATAGCGTTGTCTCCAGCTAATGTAAATGATAAACAAAGTACTGTGCTTGAAGTTTGCGCTACAGTTCAAAACAGCCAATTCAGCACTTTCCTCCCCTTCAGTTCATTGTGCTGATCACGCCTCAGGACATCACATCACACCCAGTCTGATTGCTGACTGTGAGGCGGTTTATGTTCACACCAGCAGCAGCCAGCTTGTCATGTAACTGGCTGACGACGTCCTGAGTCAACACCCGAGTGCGAGCCAGGATCCAGGCGAAGTCGATGTGGAAAAGGCCAAAGTAGTCAAAACAGGAGTACACCAGAGCATATGACTGGTAGTCTGTGGAGAGCACCCAGTAGGGAGAATCTGGAACACCTGGGTACAGATATAGATGGTAGAAAATAAAATAGTTTAAAAGGGTATTCTGTATTGTAGTACAATAGTAAAACGTACTAGCACAAATATGTCCACAGTAGATTTACCTTTAAAGAAGCTGACATCCAGAATAGCAAGTTGAGATGAGTTTTTAACTTTGGCAACACCCTCAATTGAATTCATCTTCCCATTAGACCTGTAGAGAGTAAGAAGGAAAACAAAAACTAATTCACTTCAATAGTACAAGAAATCTATCCAAACTTGTTACATATGCAGAGTGAAGGGTGAGGTGACACTCCCAGTAAGGAATGTTTTTTTTTAAACCAAATAATGTTTTTACTTTAATCCTTACAACAGCTCTACATTGCGAACTTTGACGGTCCCATCGGCGAGAGGACTGTATGTGGCTTGGTTACATTTTCCTCTCTCAAACATAGCTGGGAGCTTCTCTATTTCATACCAGGTGCCCATATACTAGAAAGAAAAGAGCACAAAGGTTGTTCAGTCAGCAGACTGAGTCCATCAGCACCTGGCAGCTGTGTTTTTATGGCATCTCCTCGAAAAGACAGTAAAACTCAACCTTCCACATATATACACTTCTGTATAAAGTAGGGATGAATGGCAACACTGCACCCACAGCCAATAGGAGCAAAATCAATACATGAAAAAAGTCATCAGAATGGATCTGAATACATGTAATATTCCGTCAGTATTTTACCTTTGTAACATTGAAGTTATCTTGAACAGATGGCTGGGGGCAACTGCCACGGTGGAAAGACTGACCGTCAGCTGCTGCTGCAGTAGTCAGGAGGACAAACAGGACCTTCACATCAAAGTTAGAACAGTTAGCGTGCTTAAACAGGCTCCAGTCTTTCAATTAAAACCAAAATAAGAAATCGTAAGCTAGTACCTGGAAAGCATTCATGTCCAAGAGACCAGAAAAAACCTCACCAAGGATGTTCTGATGTAAAGTAAAGTCAGAGCGCTCTGTGCTACTCCAATACTATTCCATCATGTACTTTAACTCATCAGCGTAGTACAAGCTTAGAGCTACATGGCATTGAAAGAAAAAAACATTCAAAAACACTCAACCTTTGGAAGGAAAATGTGTTTGAAGAGCTATATTTGGATACTGTTTACAGAACCTTTAACCTTCAGTGCAAACCCAAGTTATCTAAGAATCACATTCAGTAGAATTACTCACAAAAGGTATACCGTAGAGTCTACTACTGCTACTACTACTACTACTACTACTACTGCTCTCACAAACGTATGTCCATTACCCCACAGACTTTTGTTTCAATTAATGATACATATAAAACATGTTAAGAATAATTAACTTTAGCAGCCAGTATTCAAAACACATTTTATGGTGGATTAATTCAGATTCATACTTTATTGTCCTCAGTGGAGGAAATTTGTTTTATTTAACTTAACATTGCTTAATGCTCCACTATGTTCACCAACCCGTATATTACAGTGTTATTTGCACTCAGAGGTATTTGAGCTATTTTCTGCAGCAAACTGAGAATGAAACAAGAACAAGTTTATGAAAAGAGAAAGATTTATTCATCAAAGCACCAATATTTATACAAAAACATGTGCTCTCATTTTTTCCCTTGGAATTTCTTTTTCTAAAATTCTTTTTTTTTCTTGCATGAAAATATTTAGCTTGTTTCAATTGCATCTCTACACTTCGAAGAAATTTAGTTTTGACTGTCAACATTCCCCAGAAATCAATAATAAAAAAACAAAACTGTACAAACAATATAAAAAGAGGCATAAAGTGAGAAGAAACAGTTATTTGACAAACAATAAACGATAAATTACATTCTTAAATTTAATCATCTGATTTCATGTTATGTGCTGTGACGGTATAAATAAATCATTGAGTTTAAATTAAATAGCCTATTGAGAGTTAGAGCTGCTAAGAAGTGATTTATGAAAAGCTACAACACAAACAATACCTTCAAGGATGAAAATGCTGAACTAGAAAATATTTTTAAAATAAAGTACAGTGCATTAAAAATTACTTTGGTGGCAACACCGGCTGTCTGGTCATCCCACTGTTGGACGAGGGACTGTGTAAGATATTGAAACAAACGTCTTGCCCATTGAAAGTTCTACTGAAAATTTTAAAACTTAAAACTCTCCACGACAACCTGTAAACAAAACAGTGAAAGTAGCGCTTAATGCTCCCATCACAAAAATCTTTGGAAATCTATCATTTGTAAAAAAAATAAAAAATAAAAAATCAGCCCATCAGTCTTTACTTCCAGTCTGTTGAACAACAAACAGACAATAAACTTGAAAAAGAGATGTCTCATTCTCAACACACCTGGGTGACCATGTGGGGAACAGATGTGTCCATCCACTTTAGTCTAACCCTAACCCCTAACCCTAACCCAAAGGTTAAAAAGGTGCTGCGTGTATCATTTTAACATTAATAAATCATTACCACATTCTCTTTGAAAGTGTTAGCATTACTGTTGTGAATAAGTACAAGGAGACTGTCAGGCTCTGTATTGCGTTTTAAATTATGTGCCACCAGGTTTAACGTAAGTGACAATCTTCTGGATTGCTTTACAACACAAAAGGGACATTTCTTTAAAAAATTTAAATAAAAAAAAAGGCACAAATTTTGGTTGTGAGCCATCCACAAAATCATTCCAGTTTCACAGCATAGCATCAACTTCATGTTAGCTTACGTTCCCATTTTATATCTCATCTGTTTGTTACTGCCTCTTAACAATCTTCTGGCTTGTCACAAACAACTTATATACTAAATAAATAACATCCTCTTTGTGAACAAAAGGGCGTTAAATGTGGTCTTCAAAATGCTACACGTAGCACCAAAGATGTGCTGAAAACGACGTCCTTTTCTAAGGAAGACACTCAAATCTTTTCCCCGAGTGTTTGACATTACGGTGGCTGGGATGGGTTCCTTGGTGGAGTGGTATGGGGCGCATTTAAGCATTTTTGTGAGTCTCAATGCAAAGAATGATGTACTGGTTGGAACAGCTCCGTGTCTGCTGTCCCAGGAGCAGACCTGAGGTCAGGCTCGATGACTGGCCCGTGACAGACATGTGGTCCGCTCGCCACGTCTCACAGTGTTTGTCCACCACTCGGAGACCCCTGCTGGTGGAGCCGTGCCAGATGCTCTTCTGGGGCCTGACAGACAGATGACAGAATATATGAACATGACAGAAAATATAATAATAAGAAGACATGAAGAGACAAGCACGGACTCAGTCATGTTTACTGACCAGAAGGGGTCAGCTAAAACATCCCGGCCGTCAAAGGAGTAGATGGGTATCCTGGCTCTGACTGGCCCCCCGTCGCCATTGAAAATTGACCGCCAGTTCCTAAACATCACGTCTCCCTAAAAGAAGACGCACAGTGGGTTAGATGCAGCCAGACATACTTTACCCTGCATGATAAAAGTTAGTGTAAGTAGCTGCTTGACAGTAATAAAAAAAACAGCAGGGAAGAAAACTGACCCTGAGGTTGGTAACTGGCAGATTTTCCCGGAAACCAGGAAAGACCACATGGACCAGGTCTTGCCTGTGGGAAGATATGAAGGCGCGGTAGTTTGGAGCCAAACCCATCGCCTTGGCTTGTTCGTAACACATGCGGTCAGCCGTGTCGAGCCCCATCATGTCGCCTGAGTGGGGCTGGTTCAGGGCCACCAGGTTGAGCTGGTGGGAGAGGAAGCAACAGATTGCTGTTAGTTCAGAAGATTCCTGTTTAACTGTAAGGTTAAGGAATGATATACAACACCTCAGAGTCTAGAGTTACAAGGGTTAGTCTGCACTGCACTATAAATCAACATGCATTACATTTTCAGCATTTTGATGCGTTTTGATGCATTTGGTATGGATGTGTGAGTCAAATAAAGAGAACTATGCTGTGAAAACCATATAAAAATATAATTGTCCTTATTTTACACAAGCACGTGTTATATGTTTCATAGCTTCCTTCTCCAAAATTCATTGTAGTAGAATATTCAGTATTCAATATTCCAGCGTGAAGAGTCAAATCAAGCCAGTTAACATTATCTAAAATAAAACAGTCATACTGATACTCACCCTTCCATTAACTGAACGTATTCTTTCCATTGTGTCTCCTCTTATCTGATATGCAACTTGAGGCTGAACAAATAGTTGAGAAAATATATTAAATGAACAAATAATGCACACACAGTACAGCATTCCACAATGGCATATTTCTACTGAGCAAAAAGCAATACAAATAAGCAAAGGGTACCTCATCTTGTGGAATAATGTTATTGGAGAGGTAGATCAGATTGCCAAGCTGTGGAGACAAAAAACAGAAAAATCAAGACTGTATATTATATTCAATATGTTGTGTTATTTAAGCTCAACTTGGCCAACAAAAAACATGACGTGTCAAAAGCTTCCGAACAACCAGTTTAGTTTGTTATATTATACAGTATAAGATATGCACACATTGTATTTTTCATGAAAAGTTCTTGATTTTCTATTAATAAAGAGCATTTCATCAAACACAGCTTGATTAATCATTGAGCGTGTTCTCAAATAAAGCGACTGGCCTTCAAAAATGTTTCAGTAAGGCTGGGGGCCTGGAGGTCAGG